AATGCGCTGCTAAGTGGGCTTCTGACAGCCAATGCGCTGCTAAACAGGCTTCTGACAGCCAATGCGCTGCTAAGTGGGCTTCTGACAGCCAATGCACTTAAACTTCACTCTGACATCATATTGCTACTGATACCATGACCAACCATTTTCTCATAAATGGGTTGCAATCAACACTTACCAAAGTTGCCATATGGATCGTCGGACGGCTCAATGGTGACCTCACAAGAAGTGGGCGACCCTAGTATAGCACCTCCAGTAATCTGGTCAAGCAAGACCACCTGGAACGTTTCGGCTTCTTCTGGCACACGGTCATTCAATATCTGCAAATGAACAGGATCAAAGAACTGCATGCATGAACTTTGACAATATTTAAAGGAGCAGTTTGTCCAATAGAAAGCTCGTATACTGAATCCTAACTGAGGGCTACTTTTGTTATTCTAATTCAGCGACAATGGAAGTGCCAAGGGTGTACTCATGCATGTAACAGAGGGACAACCTACCAAATGAGGGCACACTCCGTAAGGACGTAGATAAGCACACTGGCACAGAGAGGGCAGGTTTACTCTATACGAGCATAATGCAAGTTTTCAAAGCTCGATCAAAAGAGATCTGAGCTGCTTTCAGTCAATGCGGTGAATTTGGGGATTAATCAACACTGTGATTCCTCAAGCACCTTACTGGTATATGTTGAGAATGTAGCTGTTCATGATACTGACCTCGATGGGTATGGCTTTGTATGTCTCCCCACTGTACATGATCACATTTGTTGACGTCACACTGTAGTCCAGCCCCTGCTGTGCTGTGCCGGGGATGTGCTGGAAAGCTACCGTCACCTGTGAGAGAAAATCAACCGCGATATACTTTAGGGAAAGTAACGTTTAGCTGGAAGTTATCTTTCCCATAAAATTCTGTGATTCAAATTCTTATTCGTGAGTTATAAGAAGGCTGATTCAATTCGAGTTGTAAAAATTAAGCACTTTGTGTCCTCAAGCAAGGCACTTCGCATCAATGCCAAGTCATAGGATTGCAGATTCAATCTGAATGACAAAATGGGGCACCATGTGTCCTCTGGCTGGCTTACCGTTCCAAATGACCCAGCCATCCTGGTGACGTTCAGGAAGGGCAGCGTGGATTCTTCAGACACCCGCACCATGCTTGCTGATAGCTGCAGCACCCCGTTGGCGTCATCGTTAGCTTGGATGTACACCTCGGCAATGTGCTCTACACCCACTCGAGGAGAGTTGATCACTGAAACAAGAAATGAGGACAGTACACTTCCCCAAATACCTGATAAGCATCTCTGTAGTCATAAATGCCGGAACGTTACAAATTTCAACACAAAAACAGTTGAGATGCCAAGTTCACCCGAATCAATGGTGAGACATAAGCTGCCCAAAAACCTGCCTTACTGTCTGTGAATTTGTTTAGACTGGCTCTAGGTCAAAAACTTGACCAAGCTCATTTCCAATCAACCCCCACCACCACCAATCTTACCTGGGTTAGACTGCGGTGATGACAGCAGGTTAACACTGACAATGTACAGAAACAAACTCTCTGCTGTCTCAGGCTCTGTGTCATCTAGGAGGAGGACACTGATGGTAGAGCTGAGCTGACCAGCACTGAAGATCACTGAACTCTGAACAGGAATGAAGTCGTCATTCTCCTTGGCGCGACTAAAGCAAAATTGATATAGAAAACAAATAGCCCTGTAAACTAGCAAGTTTATAATTCAGCACCAATACAACTATTATGCGACTTCATTGGCAACGTATTCATTTCTTTTGACTAGCATCCAATTGAACAAACAGTTTGTATGGGAGGCCGTCAACATTGAGCTATCTGCCAGAGCTGAAATGCACCCTCATCGGCAAAGAGAAGACAGGCTGGTCAGAAGTTTCTCAACTGACCTTGTGCAAGCCCCTAGTGCACATGTAAAGAGCGTACATTCAGAGAGAAATGTGGCACGTGCTCAGCACGTCCTGCATGCGCACGTGGTGAATTCCCAGCAAAGGACCGTGTTTGCTATGTAAACATACGCCCTCTCTTGTTTCCATTCGAAGTGGATACAGCTCAGATAGTAGAGTTAGGCTGCATCCGAATCTCTTGTCTAGAGCTAGGTCTAGGTCTTCGCTCCAATGGAAATATGTGGAGACGCGCTGACAGTAGACGTAGCCGTAGCTGTGGAAGCCCGTTTCGGACATGGCCTTAGATTGCACAATGATCATCTCATAGATACAAATCTAACATAATCATAGCTACAACTGGCAATGACTGTTTTATTTCCACAACCTATACAGTACTCTGTTTTTCGTTTTCCCATTTTTCCTGGCTACTTTAGCGTAGACAGCTTTACTTAGTCCCAACAATTACCATGCCAACTTCAAAAATAGGGTCTTCTTGACAGGAACTACGATGGCTTGCTTTTTGAGAAACATTATCTCGTGCCACACTCCTAAGAACTGTTTCCCACCTGATGTATGCCGGCATGTTGGGTATGTTCTCGTTTGCATTCAGGGTGGAGTAGACCACTTGAACAACACCTTCACTGCCAAACTGCCGCTGAATCTGGGTAAAATGAGGAGAAAACTCAAACAATTAGCCCTTGGAATTTCAGAACGACAAATAACACAGGACTAGGACTGTTTCCAATAATAGCTGACCAAACCTGTCAAATTGCATTACAATTTTTCTAACAGCGAGATGGGTTTCATGAAAGGTCAGGGACCCGCCAGAGTTGAACATATGACCGACTGACAACCAACCCAGATCTCCTTTACTTTCCAGTCTTCAAAACTACATTCGAAGGATGATGTTGGGAGACGAAGGGAAATTCATAAAAGTATTTGGGTTGTAAAATGGGTTGAAAACGACATTAAAATACTGTGCCTTTTTTTAGTTGGCATGATGTGAGTTCCCTTCCTAATGGATATGATTATGTGAATCCAGCACTTTTCTGTGCAAAGTCCAAAATGCAACCAAAACCTGAACAATTGAACCTCTACAAACATGTAGAAATTTTGGGGTAGAATATCCAGGAATCTTGACAAATTTCCCAAAAAAAGAACACCTCTGGCATACACAGAAATTGGCAAGAGTTAAAAAAGTGAACGGGAACACAAATGGGAGGACAAAATGCAGTAGCACAATCATATGAGAAAATCAGAGACTGAAGGCTGGAATTGGTTGATACAAATATACTTGAGTATGAGGTTAATCCATTAGTCCAGTTCTTTTCCTGTGGCTTCCCCAGCCAACAGAAGGTTCCATTTGAGAAGTTTGGCTCAAAAGTCCACAAACTCACTGTCAGAGAGATGTTGCGATACTCCTCTGTGACCACAATGCTTCTTGAGCCTGCCTCAAAGATGAACGCTCCATAAGGGTCATCGTTGGCACTGACTGTTACCGTGGCCACCAGTTTGGCTGGATCCCCAAGGCGACCGTTGGACGCATTACTCAGGCGAACGAGGAAAATTTCATCCAGCTCAGGGTTCTGTGGATAAAAAGGATAGCAGGAATTACTCTCGTCAAGAAAATATTTTGGTTATAACTGGTTTTCAAGAGTGGGGAAAGACGGAAAGAATCATGACAGGAACTTCAACACCACTGCTGCTGTAGCAACGAATCAAAGACACCGCTTGATTGTGCACATTCAGACGAATTTCTTTCCTTTATTCTTTTACAATTTGTACCGGGGAAAATAATTTATGGCGGTACTCAATCTCACTTTCCAGGGCTTTTGGGGGCATCAAAAGCAATGTTTGCCTCACCTCATCTGATGCTATCTCCACACTGATGTCGGCTGTCATCTCGTTGACCCCAAATGTGATACTGCCCTGGGATGTTACCAGGTCACTCGTCACGTTAGCGTTGGGGTCGCTGGGGTCAGAGGTGATCGTCCAGTCAACTGTGACCTCAGCTAGGGCTCCACCCAGCCGGAGTACCTTGAAATGAAAATCAAATTCGAATTCAAGAGGGCAAACTTTCACTTCAAACAAGTCCTTAAACAGTTAAAGACAACAGTCCATGTCTAAACCATAGTACATATGTTGGATTTTAAGTGAGAGAGAAATGGACTCTATATACAGGTATCTTCTTCAACAAAGAGATATGTAATATACAGTCAAATGCCAGTACCACCATGCAGACGCTGCTCCTTGTGCGCATTCAAATGAAAATTAGTTGGGCACCTTTCATACCATACAAAACAGACCTCTCGTGGGCCATTTTTTTCAACAACTTGCGCATTGCACACATTTGTTTCCTGTCAATAGCCTTTGTGTACATTTGGGGAAATGCACTGGTTCCTTCCAAGGCTGCTTTCTACCTACCTGCAGAGTTGCTACACTGGAACCCACATCTGCTTCCGTTGCTGTGACCGTCAATGAGACATCAGCAAACTGGAACGTCCCGTAAGCATTGTCGGAGCCCTCTATGGTGACTTCCACAGTGGAACCAATGCCGACTTCAGCTAGCATACACGGAAAGGTACACACACTTCGTTATCTTGTTCTCCGTTCATTCATTCATCTTGGTTGATGTGAAAGCAACACCATCGCAATTTGTATCAGACTATGAAAATTTAATAAAACAAGTCAAGTTTTCCCTTTCAGCTGTAACATTTGAGACGGACATACTTCTGTAATCATTTGTAAAACATAGGAAGCTGTATACTCTGCTCTCATTGTAATCATGGCAGAAACGAACCGGAAATGCACAGAATCGAATAGAGGTTGTCATTGGACACCAGCTTCACAAGCAAGTCAAGACAGAGCCTGCCCGCTTTTTCAAATTCTTGCAATGGAGCAGGAGGTCCCCAAGATCTCATTAAGAGACTTTGGTTTTCAACAATTTAGGGTGCATGTTAAAAAAGCCAGGGTCCAGTTAGAGATGACCTCTGAAGTTTATGGGAGTGAAAGGTCGGAGGTTAATGATGAGACTCATGTAAATTCACTCACCTTGATCATCTATCACGGAATGGTTAGGAGGGTGGGTGTGGATTGTGAAACATGGGGGGAAATATGACAAAGACATAATTGTTAGTAAGGGATTCATGTCCATGAGAACATTAGGCATTTGTGAAATGAACACACAAGTCCATATTAATATGCACTTTAGTTAAACTGTTATTGGGACACCATCAAGATGAACAGGGCAATTGACTGCTCCGTTGTTGGTCATTGGGACAAAACAAAGAATAAGACAGGATTTAGAATGAACAAAGAAAATTGAAAGAGACAGGATTCAGACCGGAGACCCTTCAGGATTCTTTAACATTGTTCTATCAACCGAGCTAGATGTCCCAATATTGGCAGTTTTTCAATTTGTCTTTATTCGTAAGGGAACAAGACACTCTAGTTTGTAACAAGTGCAAACCCTTTCCGGCCACATAGCCAGGGGTTACATGTAAAACCAAGGTGATAGTGGCTTCAGCAATGTTGCAAACCTAAGAAATGGGAGTCAGAATCACTCCGAGAGAACATACATGTAGCTCTAATTTGGAATGACAAGGCGACATCACAAGGAGAAATTGTAAGGGCAATCTTGGCAGAGCCTGGTCACTAACCACTAGTCAAAGGATCGCTAAAAGTTACCTGGTAACCTTGTTGAAGAGCAAATCCTAGGTACCAGGCAAAATTGGCCAATGGTCACCTAACAGATATTGATGGAACATGGCCACTGAGGTAATAGTTCAACAGTTGGACTGTTAAAGACAAGTTCAGCGAAAAAAATGAATAGAAGAAAACTCTACGGAGACATGGTGAAGAAGCACCGATGCATATATGAAATCTGCGACATACCTCCTTGTGTCGGGCTAGACAATTGGACTTGAAAGGTCTTGTCCAACTCGGCAATATTGTTGTCGTTTATGACGATAGTGATATAGGTGAACCGTTGCTGGTCAGCAAAGGTCAAAGTTCCTCCACCACTCTGTCAAGTAGAAACGGAGAGTGAATATGGTGCGTCTGGCCTGTCTCTTGTTTCCTACCCTTCCAAACCCTTCAAACTCTACCCGGGTTTAGGGATTTTTGTAGGATTGAGGAAGTAGTGCCTGTTTAGTGTTACTCCATATAGGGCTTGATGCCCCTTGAAATTTGAAGTGCACGGAATGTGTCACTGGCTTTATTAAAGTTGATGCAATTATACGAATTTCAAATCCAGCAGAATTGGTGTATCCTTAACAAGACTATGTCGGCCGCATTTCCTTTAAACACTGCAATGCTGGGACACGAGCAAGCTGTGACATTTTTACAAGAAAATTTCAGATTTCTAATAGAAGTTTTACGTATTTGGAGAAAAGCCTGAGATTAGGATATTGCAGGATAGACTCCCTTTCCCATAAAAAAAATCAAGTGATACTTCAATTGACATTTCCAACGGTTCCCTTTAATATTGGGGTTTTGTACGGATTGACTGCTACAGAACAGTGGCTCCGGACAATAGTCACTAAAGGGTTTGCATGGCTGCCATCTTGCAGGCTCGCGCTTTCTTTCAAACAGGGTATGCACAAAGGAGGTTTCTCTGTGGAACAAAAGCACTGCCCTTCAAGATGGTTACCTGTACCACGCACAGCCTCTACTGGCAAAGAAGACCGCAAATAACCAGTGATAGCAATACTATGGTCAACAGAATCTTCAATACAGCAAAAGGGGCTTCATATCAATCTCAGTTTTTGCTTGTTTCCATTCTTTTGCTGAAAGACAACTGATGCGATTCAAAGTTTTCCTCTGTTAAAAAGTAAGGCCCTGAGAGAGTTATAGTGTACACAGCAATGGGGCTGAAGAAGTTGTGTGAAGTTTGATAGATGGGAAAAAGGAGGGTAAAGATCGTTAACATACCACAAAGTCAACCGGATCTTTGCCGGCAGACAGTGCCGTGCCATCGATAGTCCTCCACTCCACTTCAACTCTGCCGAGCAACCCCTGGGCCCTGACCACCAGCAGTCGCACCATCCCCTCCTCCTCTGTCACCTGCACCCTCACCATGTGTGTCGCAGGGGGTATCAGGGGGTCGGCAGGCCCTGGGGGTGGGCCTGTGGCAAACTGGAGCAAGCCGTAAGGGTAGTCGTTGGCTCCGATGGTCAGGTTGCTGGTGCTGGCGTCCGGGTCAAGACTCGCACCGCTGGTGTTGGTGGAGCCAATCAGGCCGTCATCTGACAGCGGGAGTTGGGGTAGGAGATCGATGGAAAAGCTCTCTTCAAGCTCAGGCAGCATGTCATCAATGGCAGTTATGATAATGGTCTGGATCGGGCAGAAAGATAAAAGTAAAGCACTTTAAACTCAAATATACTTTATAGAGGTTTGCATGGTGGACGTGACAAAAATGAATCTTTTTTTGTACATGAGTGAGATATTGAAGAGAACAAGTGGACATAACGTGTTGGGCAGTACGCGTCGCCTGTTGTCAGGAGTCTCAAAATATCCTGTTACCAATCACTTTATTCCTTGACTTGGACGTCACATTCAATTTAACATTAACTTTGGCTAAATTTCACATTCGTATGTTCTAAAATACAATGTTGTCTTAAAAGAAATGTGTGTGCAGCTATACTTGGTATTAAAAAGTTCCTGTTTCGGGCACAGTTATCATTAGCAAGTGGCAGATGATGGAAACTGTGGTTGGGTTGTTGAACTTCTTACAAAATAATATATCTGCCTTTCAATTATTCAATTATAAACTAAATGGCTTGCTAAATGCTAGATACTGCTGGGAAGGGAAGTGATGCTTCAAAATTGCTTTGGAAAACTTTTCAGTGGCATTGAACCCTTGCTGACCTGAATGCGCACACCGTTTGGGAACACTACTTTTCCCGTTGCATTGACAAAGTCGCTGGACGCCACCTGGTTGGTCTCTAGGTTCCGCACCTCCCAGGGGATTGTGACTACGCCCTCGTCACCACGGCTACGGACAACTGAGCACGTGTACACCAGTGCCTCGTTGGATTCCGGGTCAAAGGCTGAGGGTGTGCAGGGACCCTCAAATCCAAATAGGCCATTGGCATTATCGCTCTTGAGAACTAAAAAAAATATTTACAAAATGCTTGGTTAATTAGGTGCATTTTAATTTCCAAGACCTGTTTTAAATTGCAATGAATTTTTTGCACTGCCCTGTTTCATTTTCACATGATGGATAACTCAAGATTTGCTTCTTAAGCTAGTACTGAAAAATGAAACATTTCGTTTACAGTTGTTGATTCAGACACAGCGTTTTATTGGAAGGACCAAAGAGAGTAAGAGATCTAGAAATAACTCAAAACAGCAGGGGAATGTTCATCAGCACAGAATATACACAACCAACGACAAACGACCCCTGGGTTTCTCTATGACTGACCTGTCAGCAGTGCAGTGGCATCGTCCCGCCCGATGCGTGCTCCCCCGCTGCTGCACAGCAGCATGACGGTGAACACCTCGTTCCCTTCCTCCTCGGTGTCTTCCAGTGACATCATGGCGATATCGGCCATGCGCTGAGCCGGGTCAAAGGTCAATTTGCCCGAGATGGGCGTCACGTCATTCTTGGAGGGAGCGGTCCAGATTTCAACGATCTCCCTGCAATTCAAAGTAGAAAAGGGGTGAAGTGATGAGAAATGGCCAGGAGGAATTCAATTAATATATGAATATAATTGGCGGACAACTGCCACCAAATTGCATTACAAAGACTGAAAACAAACATTAAGAGGACACAAAGGTGCCTTTTGTAGATTTAAGCCTTACAAATACCTTGAGAAATCTCGGACATTTAATTAGCTCGATTCAAGTACCTTTCCATTTTCTCATTCGAAATTTGGGTTTAACAAAATTGTATTTTATGATTTACCTTTCTTGAAGTTTCCTGGCATACATGCGGACATCTTGCAACAATCCCAGGTACTGCTCACTTCCTGGCTGCAGGGCACCGACGTACAAGTTCCCCGGCCCGTCCCCCTGGGCCTGGTCCATGGTGCTGGGCGAAGAAAAACAACCAAGAAGGAATTAAAGCCTTAATGTATGCCTTATGCCAGATAACTGACACTGGAGAACCTGTGAGGCCTGTAACTTTGAAGGTAAACCATGGAGTGATAGTGCACATGCTTCTTCTTGAGCATCAAATCAAAGCAACTTTTGATTTCCCAGGATTTGCTATGCACACAGCCAGTCCAAACTTAGTACAGTCAATAGAATATATAAAAACAGTACATAAGTTTACAACAATCCTTAAGGAATACATGTACATATACAGTAATTTTAATATTTGAATTTGGTTTTCCAAGTTTTACAAGCACAGACCTTTTGAGAAACTAAGGCCATGTCCGAAACGGGCCTCCAGAGCTACGGCCGGGTCTATTGTCTACACGTCTCCACGCATTTCTAATGGAGCGAAGACCTAGACCTAGCTCTAAACAAGAGATTTGGACGCAGCCTGAGTCTGATAATGAAAACTGAAAGACTACTTCCTGTATCTACACAGGTTTGAGAGAGGTACAAAGCGGCCTGATGGTCAGGGGTAGCAATACGTGGCTCAATTTCTAGTGTCTTACCGTTCAGCTACCAGGGTCCCGTCCACGTAGCAGGCTGCCTTTAGGCTGTCAATGGTTAGTATGATTGAGTGCCACAACCCATCCGCAATGTTGAGGGAGCTCACGGTGAAGTCCACCACAGTGTTTGTCTGAAAAATCCCCAAGGAAAAATGTGTCCTCCTTTTTTAATGAAAAATACTTATCACTTGACTCCAGGCGAGACCAAACGTACTCAACTCGACTATATTGCAGCTCTGATCTGACGGGAAAGTTACAAGTGCTACTGGTGAACCAGGCAACAAGCTACATGAAAAAAGGATCCCCTATTTTGATGACCAACAAAATAGGCCTGTGGGCAATGGCTGATTAAGGGGTGGGCAACAGTGAGCATTCCAGGCCCCCCCCCTCAAAAAACGAGCCAAATTTAAATTGGATTTGGAAAAATGCTGAGAGAAAAAAAATTGTTTTTTCGATTCTCTTCCTTCAAAAAGCTTGTGAAATGCCTAAAAAATTTAGCGTCACTCTTCAGGAAGGGCATAAAAGGTTACTGAAAGAATTTCTAAAGTGACTATCTCCCCTTAGAAACAATTTTGCCCCACCCCCATGTCTTGGTTTTGGATCCGTCCTTGCTTTTGGGCAAATTTCATCACCTCTGCTCATGACTACACTTATGAGGCGTCACACTCACATAGGTACTTCCTGAGTATCTGTAGTGTACCATCGTTGCGCTGCCCGACTGCGTCACCTTCAGGCCATAGTGGACAGTTATCCCGTCCGTGGAGAGCTTGGACAGCACAAAGCCGTCCACGCCCACGTCCGGCCGGACCCAGGCACTGAGGGAGAATCCACTGAGGATGTCGGCAGTCGGGATTTGGTGCTCGGAGGGAACTCGAAGGTAGGAACCTAGAATGGAAGACATTTGTATGGAGAACATTTACACTATTTAAAACTCTAGCTGCAGATATTTATCATAACCAGGGTCGATACGAGAAAGGTGATGTGATGCACCATTCCAAAAACAGGCTGTGGCAAGTAATTTTGATGCTTGACAATTCCACTCCACCGACTATTCGTATTTCTACTTCAAAGCAATCCAAAGTAACTATTTTGTCTGCAAAAACCTTTGGTAGCTACAGGCAATAAAGGTGTTGGAATTTATATTGTTTGTGCATTTAAGTATCATTTTCCAGATTATTAATTTTGATGAATCTTAATAAAACTATTCATGAAAGAAGTTACCATAGAGCGAAAAGAATGTACAAAAAATTGATTCAAGGCACTAGATAAGGATTTATCTGGCAAATCCCAAATATTAACAATTACAATGGAATTCAAACTATAGAGGGCACTGTTGCAGCTTAGCAATGAGTGCAAGTGAAAGTACGTGAGGGAGGCAATAGTAAACCAGGTTACCAACAAACCTGCCATGTGTTTTTTAAATGCAACTGGTTCCCTTTTTGCTTGTTTGCCTTTTTTCTTTTTGTCTTTTTCGATGACAAGTACTGTTGACAAATCTCTTGCTTGGTCTCAGCTCTCCCATCCTGTCGCGTAGCTTGCGATGGAGTGTCCCCCACCTCCAAATGCACTTACTTGCACTGCCGTTGAACAACGCCACCCTGGTGCCAGTATGAAGACGTTGTGCACCTGGCTGGGAGAGGACGCTGGGATTGGGCTCAGCAAGGAAGATGAGGTCCCGCACAGTTGGCAGGATGCCAGAAATGGAGTCAGAGAACACCTCCCAAAGAACCTGCCGGCAAAAGGAATTACACTGGCATTGCGGTTACAAAATCCAAACTTGGATTAAATTGATGTATTCATAATCAATGTACTAGTATGTCAAGTTTAATGAAGATTGGTCACTAGATAGCCAAGATGTTGACGCACAAAAAGATTGCATGCTCAGCAAATGACTGACTGAGAATGAGTTCCAACTATGAACAACTAGCAGCATTCGGCAAACAACTGAGATTGCTTTCCAACACTCAGTAATAGGTGCCTGGCAAATCTGCGAGAAAATACCCTCCCCCCCATTCCATTGACCCTCGGTGCTGAACTCTGACCTCCACTTGACCAAACGACCCCTGGGCCCTCTCTACGGTGAACACGGCCTGCCCTGTGGCGTTGTCGGCCAGGTAGAAATCCTCAGCAACATCTCTCTCCGTGGAGGAGGAAGGGAAGACTAGAACACCGTAAGGGTCGTCGTTGGCAGCGATCTCCAAACTGACCGAGATGGGATCAGTGTCCGACAACGCACCATCTACACACATTATGCACAAAATATTCATTGAATTAAGGTAAATTGTGGAAAGACTGTGGTAACTCCAGGGAAAGTGTCATAGCAGCTTGCTTTGAAAAGAACGTACACATTGTCTGATCTACTTCACCTGTCTTTGTATTTCACTTGAATTCAACTCGATATGAAGTCAGCCATACTACCGAGCACATCTGACCAATTATTCAGATTAATTTTACTCTAATTAAAATTGAATTCAAATAGTTTCACTAAGGCACTTGGCTGTTTCCTTCCAAAAAGCTGGGTAGCTAAAGACCACTTCTCAAGGTTTTTGTCGAGTAATAAGTACTCATGAATATTCACACTTCACATGTACTCGTGTACACATTTTTGAGAACAACACAATGTCATCTCATCGTTTCGATACCTACCACTGACGTTGACCAGGATCAGCTCATAGTATTCGGCGAACTCTGGAACCCCGTCTACCCTGGACGTAACTTGGATCCGCTGCTGGGTTTGCTGATCAGCAAACTCCACCGATCCTGTCACCATCTCAAACTCTGACCCCTGGGGCACAGGGTCCAAGGTGCCATTGTAGACAATCTGCCAGTGGAGGCGGACGGTGCCAAAGTTCCCTCTTGCTCTCTGGATCCTGATAAAAAAAGATGATTTAGGACACTTTCCTTTTAAACTAGGAAACAACAACACTTCCCTGAAAGGTTTTTTTTTTCACTCAAAACTATCGTTCCTGGACATTTGGTGCGTTATTTTAATTACAAATTCAATTGCTTTAATGCAATTACTTTTTCCATATAATATTCAAATATATTCTTAGTATGTTCAAAATTTCTCTTGATGCACTAATGAAGGTTGCTTTCTTCAGGACTGACAACTTTTACAGTGATCCCTGACATGAAATCAAATCCCTTTTTTATCGTGCTCAACTTTTTTGAAATGTATTTCTTACTCTGCAAAAATGGACGTTCCCTCGCTGGTGAAAACACTTGCAAGTGGCTCTCTGAAGCTAAATATACCATAGGGATCATCATTGGCTGCTATGGTAACGGTCGCCGTGGGAGCCCCATAAACCACAACATCACCTGAAATAGAGAATGCACAGATGATTGACACTATTCATTGTCACTGTCAGTCTGGTTTTCTTCCGTAACTTACCGCGTAGCAAATATGTATAGAATACTGTGTGTGATGGCCAGCCAACCTTCACGATGAAGGAAGCCATTTTCTGCTACTAAAGAATGCTACATCTTTGCCAATCTGCCTTGCGTTAGCAAACCAAGTACTTCATGTGGGTACGTACAGGCTTTTTAGGATGGGGGAAATTTATTTCATTGCTTTTCATAAAATCGTTCAGTGATTAGCACTTGGAAAATGTATTCAAACCAGGGTGATCATTGATAAAAACCAAATGGACCACATATACCGGACCAAAGAAAGCCACCAAAAGTCAAAAAGTGTGCCTCTGAAAGCTTTCAGAAATGGGCATAATATGCAGGTCTTCGAAGGAAAGCAGGACAGGGGGGCCAAACAATGCAGTAGCTAAGCTAGTAGTTACCAGTGGAACAAATTTTAAGCACTAGCGAAATTTCACACAAATACTGAGCAAAGCAAAATGGCAAAATGTGCAGCCCACCAAAATGTAAAACTAGTCAGCCATCTTGGGCTGGCTCCTGCAAGAAATGCATATCTGTAGGGAGGGCAGCACCGTGTCAAAGGATACCAGCCTGGGTGTACAGGGGGAAGGGTCCAAAAATTGTTGAGATGACTACAGCCAGCTTAATGGGCGTCCAATGTACTTCCTTTGGCAAAATTTACTTACGTGCACCAAATGAGTACACTGAATACAGTATAAATAAAAACAAAACCATAAATGTGGACAACTGCCATAAAGGTGTCATAATAATCTGATGAACAATCCTTTTTAAAAATTCAGACAAGACACAGGTGTGTGACGTGATTAATATAACTAGCTTGAAACTAAACATTGCAATTCTGCTTTTATTAACCGAAGCCATTTTATGATATCAGGGACAATGGCCCAGTGGCAACTTTCAAAATTGCGTAATAATTATGCAGGGAGAGATGAAAGCGTCTGGATCCCTTTACCGACTGGGTTGAAGAGCTGGATGGTGAAGTACTCATTGTCTTCTGGTGTGTTGTCATCTAGTATCTGGACTTCAACCAGCCGGGTCCGCTCACCGACGGGGAATTGCAGGGTGCCAGACTTGGGGGCGTAGTCGAGGAGGCCATCGGTGGCTGAGCCGGCCACCGTGCGGTAATCCACGGAGGCGACGGATGCCGCGGTGCCATTCCGTCCCACAGTGAAGGAGACGAAGCTGGGTTCGGAGACCGTCTTGGTGATGGGCTCTGTGAAAAACAAGAAATGCAGAATACAACATTCTCCGTTTGAAGTCTGCACTGTGAAAGCCCACTTCATGGCCGATTTACATTTCATATGAATGCTGACCTATTGTTTACTTCATCTGACTTAAAAACAGTACCGTAAACATTTTCAGCCTCATGAAACTGTGTCAGGAGTTTGCAAATTTGTACTCAAGTGTGGCTTTCATGCAAACCGACAGGTTGCAAAAGCAGTCAGTAATTTATCCAAAGAGACAAATCTAACCTTTGAAGAAGATGGCATCATCATTCTTATTGATGTTGAGTGTTGCCGTGGTAACACTGCCTAAGCGACTGTCTCCGGTGGGATTAGTCAAGGCCAACTGGAATGACTCTGGATTTTCAGGAATCTAAAAGAGAACAAAGAACCACATGGTAAAAGTAAGTCTTCTTGAAATACTGAGTACTTTAAACAACTAGCAAAGACTGGCACCTACCTCATCGGCCCTTGCAGTTATTTCAATTTCCTGTAGGCTGATTCCATCCCCGTAAGTCAGGGTACCAGACAATGGGGTGACGTCCAATGCAGCACCAGTGGTGACTACGGTCCAGGTGACATTGGCCAAACCGAACAGTCCCGCCTCCCGCAACACCGGGAACCGGGCAGAGTATACGTCTGTCCCCTTGCTTTCGTCGATGTACCTGATCATGGGGTCCTCTGCGAAGGTGAAAACACCATGAGGATCGTCGTTTTCCAAGACAATGATCCCAATGGTGGTCAAATCACCTAGGTTACTTGGCGGGTTGCCAAAGCTTGCCAACGTCAGCTGGAACGTTTCGTTGAGTTCGGGGACAGAATCCGGCGCCGCAATGAAGGAGATATTTTTTACGGTGTCACCTGGGCCAAAGGTAACGACCTGGGGCAGGCCAAAGAACTCCGGGGAGGTCACGCTGTCCCCAGTTGCGAAATACCGCACGCTGCGTGCTACAAGACTCCCACCACGGCGTAGAATGGTCACCTGGACCAGATCGCCGTTCTCTGATATGACAAACGGTCCTGCGGTTAGAGGAGAGAACTCGAAGTAGCCACCCGGTCCGTCATTTTCACGGATTGTCACGACCACTTCTGTGTCGCCCTGTCGCAGGATCTGACTGGCTGGTTGGGTGTCGTACAGCTGGACCACCATGGTTTCATCTGTCTCGGCAAGGTCATCTGGTAGGATCTCCAGAACAATCTGGGTTCTAGCGATACCTGAGGGGTGAAGTAAAAAATGGTCATTCTGAGAGCAACAAATGTACAGGGCCAATCAAATGCTGTCAAGTTACCATATGACCACACAATTTCCTCACACTCGGCCACCATTACTGTAGGTCAAACGGACAAACTAAAAAAAATTTTTTTAAATCGTTGTGGCCATGCGGCTGCGTGTGCGGTTCTGGTGGGACCAGGAAACAAAAGTGAATTTCGACACCTGACACTGCACGTTACAAGTCTACCTTTTTATATAATATGGCAGATCAAAAGATGGTAATGGCAGACCAAAATTGATCGAGTTGTGACATTTTGGCTGAGCACTTTTTTGGTCTAATTTCGTGCTCTATTACAGTATCTCAGATCTATTTGCGACGTACCTGAGGCAATGAAAACTGAACCAGAGAATGCACTGATGTCCTCCTCGGTGGGTCTTACTGGATAGCTTGGGTCTGTCACGACGATACGCCAGAAGATGGTGGCATCACCGGATGTGCCCTCTCGTGTGATTTCCAACGGAAACTGTGTCCATGAAAAGAGAGTTATGACACAGTAAGTTATGACACAGCATTCATGCTACAATTAGCAAAGTTTGTAATTTTTAAAAAAATGCAAATCACACTCAGGAAAAAAGAAACAGATGTTCATCACAAAGAAAAATTGAATTTTCCTTCCGTTTTCCTTTAAAATCTGTTGACTGGTTTGAAAGGTGGGAAAGCAGTGATCAACAACTATTGCTTTATTTCACAAAATTGTGGTTCAAACTTCAATCAATCGTGTCTTACAACGTACCAGAGTTGGTGTGGTACCCTCCGGTTCATCAACCGACAGGACCTGGTTGGGCTGGGTGAAGCCAATCTCCCCATTGGCCACGTCGCTGGTCACCTCTAAAGTGACCGTTGTCCGGGCCCCGAGCCGGGGACTACTGGGCGGAAGCAAGGTGGCCTGGTCCAGCAGCTGCACACTCAGCAGGGTGATGTTGAAGGTGGCCCCCAGGCTGAGGAAGGCATTGGCATTGATGGTGATTTGGAAGGGGTGGACCGTTGAGCCATCAGGGATGACTGTAGTCTGTGAGTCTCCGCTATCCAAAATATCTGAAAGAAAACCAATGTTAGCGTGCACTTAAACATGCATGAAAGACCATGTTAATTTGTTACTAGCCAAAAGCCATTACTACTGCAAGCCTTTGTAAGGCAAGTAGATATTCAGAGGGCATCCATTCAATGTTAAAAAATTTTCCCCCATACACTGAGATCAAGACCTTCACATCTAAGGGCAAATTCCATTAGTGCTTTGTGAGTAAACTAGTGTGGCTTCACTTATTCACGTTTTATATAGCGTTTTATATAGCACAAACAGCAAGTAAAATACATTCTCTATACGTGCACATGTACACACCTGTGCTTGCTCCTTGATTTGGCAAATGGTATTCAGCAGAGAAAGCCACAGATATCCTGCCCACGACGCCAGCTGCTCTGCTGAGCATGAGCTGGAGCCGCCTGGGTCTGGTTCCTGTGACGATGCGCTGCTCAGCGTCTGATGAAAACTGGACTACGCCATATGCGTCATCACTGTCCTGAATGGTCAACAGGCCTTCAGTGATCGCTCCGAGGCTGGCCCCACCGGTCACGGAATTGGACAGGAGTGACACATGATACTGCTCGGCCTCTTCAGGAATGCCGTCGCTATTTATGTTGATGAGGATACTTTGTGACCTTTGACCTTCTGCGAGGGTAACTGTGCCACTCTGTGGTGAGAGGTCGGCTGAGACAGGATCAGAATTTGAATCGTTGCGTGTTATGATGTAATCCACAGTTACGATACCAAATGTACCCCCTTCACGGATGACTGTGAGCCTGTCGGTGGACGACGTGGTGTCTTCGTTGATGACAACATTTGGCAACGATCCTGAGTTACCAGAGAAGAGAGACAATACACCGTGCTGATCATCGTTAGGTAGAATCGCAACCACTGTCCTTGTCGGCTCCACGAGCACTGCGTTGGTGCTGGGGTTTGCCAAGGCGATGGAGAACTCCTCCACCAGCTCAGGCACGGGATCATCCAAGATGGCAATGCTGATGGTCCTCGTCAGCTGCCCCGGCGAAAAGCCTAAGCTGCCGTTTGTCACAACGCAGTCCACACCGAGCTCCGCGCTGCCTGAGTAAAACCAGTACTCCACAGTGACCATCTGGTCAGACGGTCCGAGAGGGGTCAGTCCGTCGGAGTCCAGACCTCGCAGGACTGCCACCGTCACTGTCCCAGCATTCTCCGCAAAGCTGTACTGAGGTTGGGCGAAGCGCAACGGACTATTATTGGCAGATATAACCAAGAGAACGGATTTTGACGAAGCATTCAGGGTTGCCCCGCCAGTGACCGACAGCAATTCAACGGTGAATTCCTCATCATCCTCTGGTATCTGTGTGTACATTCAACAAAAACAAAAGAAAGGGAACTACAATGACAGAGAGAAAATAAATGATGCGTCTTCTCGTTTTAAAGTTCTGATCACTATTTTACATCAGATTTCCATTCAGAAGTCGAATGGCAACTTTCGTGTTTGGTCGTTTCTCTTTATTGCAGTTTGTGATTTTATTTTTCTTTTCATCTTCTTGCACAGTTTATTGGCAGTAATCTTTTCAAACAAACCCATGTTTTTCACTTCAATTTAGAAATGCATATCTTCCTTAGAGTTATGGCTGACAGTCTCACCTGTGATACCTGTAGTCTGGACACCTGCACCTGAAACATCACCCATGGACCCCCCAAATACATTCAGAGTAAAGTTCTACCGGTGTACTTACTGCATCTGCTAGCACCACAATGCGTAATGCATCCCTGGCAATGCCCTCAGATATGGTAACCGATCCCCCGACTGGCGTGAGATCCTGGCTGGCCGTTCCAGTGCTTCCAGTTACCTAGGAATGAATAGCTAGACAAGATGAGTTGTGCCGCAGTGGGATTTGTTCCAAGTGAACCCTATTACCCCAGCAATCAATCAGCTGTCAACATTCAGTCACTGCATTGGCTCATTCTCTGAAATAAATATACCAGTGCTGGCAATTTCCACTTCAAAACAACCATGCTGAATAAGTAGGGGGGAAAATCACTTCACAAATATGATCTGTTAATGCTGCATCAATCCAAAGTTACCAAATTTTGTTGCGACTAAAAATGTATGAAAAAAAGACAAAGTGGTTTAAAATAGATGCAAATTACCTGGTAAATGACATTAACTGCATTGAATGTCCCCCTGTCTCTCTTCAAGGGAAGCAGGAGCGAAGTAGATGAGAGACTTTCTGTGACTCTCACAGGGGAAACCTGCAAGAATCCACACAGCCATTGATAACTTAATAAAGCATGCACATGAGATTCCATTTTATTTAGCTTTGTGAAAAATATACCGACTTAAACGGAAGAACAGCACTACATGTACCTGAATAAAAGAATTTTTACTGCTCTCCTTTAAGGGGTCTTCTGCATTTTGAAAATGTTCGACAGAAAGGTGTACACGTGTACTGTAACTGGAACAGTGAGTCTGCATAGTGCCGTCTATCAGCAGTGTTCTGGCTAGCTTTTTATGTTAGCATAGGGGTGAGCTCCGGGGGGGGGGGGGGAGGGATGATAAGTGGGGGACTGGACATTATTTGACACCCGGGGGCACTGTTCAAACAACTTATTAACACATGTTAAAAGTTAGATACTGGTATAATACCCTGGCAGTCGATCTATTTATCAATAAGAAATTAAGTACTATTTGCTCCACTTTTTGTTTTCATTTTTTCTTTTGCTGTAAAATAATGACAATTTTTCATGTTTATGAATATACGACAGTACACAGTACCCTTCGTTTGGAATAACTCTAGCCATGTACAGTTTGGGAAGTTAAAATATGTTGAAAATCTTTGGAGTCTACCACGTGTGCACTGGCAAAAATCACACTTACATGTAACTGAGAAGTATCCCAAAAATAACATCAAATTCACGCATGAAGAAAAGAAAATAAATACAGGAAGAAGGAAACCAAACACTGTGAACTTTACCTGGAATTTCAGCAGCTTCTTTTGACACAATTTTGTGTTTTCAATGTGTGGAAAAGCACATGCAGGCAATTCCATGGAAAAGTGTCCAGAACCCCAACGTTTCAAATGACACGTACTTCCATGCAAATAAATTTCATTTGCATGTACTTTGAAAGAAAGATGCTTGGCCTGTTTAACTCCAATTTGGTTTCCTCGTGTTTCCTTTGTTTTTGTTGTTTGCTGTTGTTATGAAAACTGATGATTACAAATTTAAAATTACAATTTTCAAGCCAAATTTAAACACTTTTTATTCACCAATCTTGAGGGTAGAAAAAAGATACTACAGTTTGTCTTAAACCATTTCACATGGAGCTTGCCTTCTCAAAACAACAAGTATTGCTGTCATGTTTGTCCTCAAGTGTGCCAATTTGAATTAACACCAATGTAATGTCCATTCATTTAGGTTTCCTACATGTACATGTAGTTTAAGGTGATAAAGGACATTTTCATGAGACTTCAAATGCAAAGCTAATTTACTTGGATAAACCCAATAATGGCATAAAAAAATGTTTTATTAAAATTATGTTTAATTATGCACATGAGTAACAAGGGCATTACATTTTTGATGTCATGGACAATACAAAATGTATGTCATGGTCATGACACATTTTGCTAAGAGCATTAACTCTACATGTACATGTACCTTGTTAAAAACAAGACTAGCCCATTTATGCAAATGAGTGTCCCTTCCCTACCTAAGGTACAGATATACATGTAGTTTAATAGGACCTAACGTGGATGAAAACACGATATTAGCCATTGATTGAAGCTGTCTGGAAACAATACAATCAGTCATACTTGTTAGACCCGTTTGTTTGAAAAGAATCTGGATCTGGATCAGTGATCCCAATGTTGGTTCACACCATGCATCCATTAACCCTAACAGTCCTCAGTCCTTCACCTGTTGGAGGACTGAGGACTGTTGGGGTTAAGCGAGTTGTGGTGTCAGTGAACCAACAACGGATCACTGATCAAGATCCAGATCCATGTGAAACCAAATGGCCCACTGAGAGCACATGTAAAAATGTAGCTAAGCACGCACTGAAAAGAAGCCTCAACTTTCAGGTAAATCGTTTTCAAGTGTAAAGTTTGTCAATACTTGCAAAATACGAAAAGAGATAAACATTTACAATATCTTTACACATTCAGCAGTGACAATGTATGTCTAGGTGCAGGCAAATCCTGAGCAGGTCCAATTTTAAAAAGTTCAGTGAAGAAAATTTTAAGAACTAAGGCCCTTTTGCCATTTATACATTGCTTATACTGCAGGAATTAAATTCTGAAGCGTTTGGTAATTGCTTCGTCATCTTATTTTGCAATGCAACAGGAACAAAATAAGAAATATCCTACAGAAGAAAAAGCATTTAAAAAGAAAGAAGCACAAGGAATTTAAAGCAAGATCCTACATGTACTTGTCCTAAGTAACAATTACACACCGCAGAAATAATTTTGCAACTGCATGGCTAATTTTCTGTAGGCCTATACATGCACATGTAGCTGATTTTACTTGTTTTAGAACACTGTTTTGGTTCAGTTGGTCTTGAATTTCATTAAGGGGCAGCATAAAAGGGGTCTAAAAACGTCTTAAATTTGAATTGCTGAAACTTGCAGACCCCCAAGAAAAGTAATGTGTACATTTTCCTGTAAGTACATTGTACGTAAAGTAAAAGGTTAATGACTGGTTGACAGGTACATGTACACGTACATCTGCATAGGTAAAAAAATATTATCATTAACACATGAGAGAAAGTAGGATAATCCTCTAGGAATTTCACTTAGGGTTGTGTATACAACTGTATTAGTTTGGACACGTACATGTACTGTCTATGACACAAAAATGTAATGTCAATTATGCTTAAGTGAGACTTATAAGAAAGTGGATAGCCCTTTTAATTGGTAGTGTTGTTTTTCTTGTTGATTGTTTCCTACCTTACACTATGAAAGTCAACTGAAACTAAAACAGATTCAAACTGTTAAGATTGTTATGGATGACTATGGACCATCTGTGATAGCTCCTAATTCATTTAAGCCACGACAGAATCAAAAGTTGAGCATCATTACCTTTGATAGGTTGATAATTTTTGAGAGAATTTTCGCTTTCGAATCTGCATTTCTCATATTTCCCATCCCTGGGGATTAAAAACTTAAAAAAATTTAGGTTCAGGGGAAAATTCACAGATGATGAAAAAATTGTTATTTGTTAACAAGGAAACATTGCTAAACAAGTTTTCTTACCACATCAAAGCCGATCACACCAAATGCATCGTCATTGGCAGCGATCGTTACTGTGGCTGTGCTGGGGTTGCCAACCGTGGCACTGTCACTCAACACAGTCACTGTGACGGGGAACGCCTCATCTGGCTCTGGCAAGTCATCATCAAAGGAATAAAATGTTCCCTCTTGGGTCAACGTCCCCGGACCGGTGGGGAAGCTGAGGATGAAATTGGTCCCGATGAAGTCTGCACTGGCGCTCATTGGATCTTGGAACTGAAATGAGCGAGAACCAGTCAAGAAGGAGAAATACAGTATGTTATTCAATTCGGTGCACTTTGCAGGTGAAAAACCCATAAAAGATGTCCCCCTGGGATTCGGAAAGAAGGCTCGATGGAGGTGGTACTCGATGTCAAAGAAAAGTGAATTAACAAAGTTTCAACAACCACGATATTCAAATAAAAATCTTGTCAGTTTCGGATCTAAAAAGTTAAGCCACAAGACAGCTACTGGTATCTAGTCCAGTCACAAGTAACATAGAAGAGCAAAGACAAAGGAAAAACTTAGGAATTAGGAATAACTACATGTACATGTAGCTCATTGAAATACATGTAGCTTGACTTGTAAAACTGCTGGGAAATTAGTATAAACACAGTCTTTAACTTTCCGAGTGAGCTGGTAAAGATATTCCTCCCATCTGAAACTGTCATTTATCATATTTGTAAAAATGAATCACACAAACACTGCACAATTGATTGGATGTGTTGTTTATTATTTATTAAATAGTTTTGAATCATCCACTTCTGAATTTCTGAATTTAAACAGCCACCCTCTACCGACATGGTTAAAATAGTGAAGATGAAAAAAGCCAATGTTGTTTTTTTTAGCTAAACTAATTTTACTTGAACTTCCTGAGTTCTCCTTTCATGCGGGGATTTTTACTTGCTTACTGGTCATTTTTTAAGCAAAAGGCCAGCTTTTTTAAGCCAAAGTCCGGTGGGCAAGTAAAAATTCCCGCAGGCTGGTAAATAAAATCTACAAACTTGCCGGGCGGGCTTGTGAAAACAAAAAGTTTAAGATCAAAGCCTGATTATCAGTACTGATCTACATGTACTTACCCTGACCACTACCCTCACATCTTCAGGACTGTTCCCAGTCTTCTGCACGCGGACAACTGCCGCCCCTCCTTCCTGTATGGTGATGGCAGAGTCCACGAAGGAAACTGTGGCAGACTGGGCACTGGCTGTGCTGACCAGCAGCAAAAATACGGCAAGGTGGATCAGCGTGGTTCCTCTACACGTTCTGTGAAGCAAGGCATTAAAGAAAGGGTCAATTTAAAACTAAGTTTGGGAGCCAGATTAATTTCTGCTGAGTTGAAATAAGACACAGAAAGTTCTTGACAAGAGCCTCTGAGCTTTTCAAGAGCATGAAGAGCTTTGAATTTATCGCACATCATAGTCAAATTAGCTACAGTACTTGCGCATACATGTACATGTATAACATGCAGCCTTTTTTTAAATTTACTAATACACTTCAAAAGTATATTACAATAGGTAAGTAGGAAAAGTGTTCCTTTATTTTATAATGGATATCCCACTGGTTGTAGAGATTGAGACTCTAATTAGATTTTCCAGCTTAACACTTTGATGGCATTTTAAAACAGATACAATTCCAACCAGAAAACTGAGAATTAATAAACCAAATCCAACTTTCTTCCTGTTTCCATAATTCCAATGGAAATCAGGTGTTTATTCACTCTACGACTGCCTCTGCAGGTAGGCAATGGTAATAAATTACAATGTATGTAAACAGCAATTCACAAAATAATCATTAAATTTGCAGAGCTTTATGTATCGCCCACTTGATAAAATAGCCACTTCAGCCTGCAAATTTATATAAACTGTTTATGCATATCACACCTGCAACATGCTGGTATCAATGCGATTGCGAGTTTGAGTACATGTACATGTACATGTACATTACTGTGGCCAGACCACCCCAGACCTGTACATGTACATCTAGAAATACCATTGCAGAGAAGTCATGAGCAACTCAAGGTTACTGACCCTACTTGGAATTACGGTAGGCCTACATGTGCCTGTATGTCTTTGCAGACACAACTCCACCTGTTGGAATCCAACCTTTTAAATGGAGGCTTCTGTCAGACTTGTAGGTATCATTTTGAGTGGGCCCTAATTTTTTGCAACGGCTACAGGGTAATTCCAAAGTTCTTTAAGCCTGATTAAATGCTTCATTGTAAAGTACGAAACTCGGAATATACATGTACATGTAAAAAACTGGGGCAATGCATAATGTGACATGTACATTAACATTAACATCTGGGGAAATTGGGCAAAATGGTAAGCACATATTTTAACTATTCAAAAATGTTTAAAAAGCTGATCTCTGGTGAAATGCGTTCATGCTCCAAATGTTTTATCTTTCTTCTACATGTACATGTAACTTATTCCTCTGCATTCTTGCTATTTTTTTTTCGACAACCCTGCAAAATTCTCTACAGTACATTTTGAGAGCTCAATAGCCCCTTGTTTTAGCACTGGGGTGTCTTCTTTGGTAGATTGTTTCTTTTTATTTATTAACTCCTTCATTTGTTTTTCATCTGTTTGTAAATATTGTTGGTGGTCACCATCTCAAGTAAGCTTTGGCCTTGTGATCAGCAGATTTCAATAAAAAAAAAAAGTAAAAGTAATTTCTTTTTACAAGTGCATGATTTGACAGCCTACGATGAAAAACTAAATTTATTACCGATCCTGAAACAAATTTATAATTAAGCAAACAGCTGACTAAAGAGGGCTACGCCTAATATTAAAATGCCTCGTTCCCTCCGGCCTACACTGAGAGCTACATGTACCAATGCATCTCTGGCTGTATTAATAATGTCATCCCAAGGACAATAGGTGCAGGGAGTTCCCTGAATACACACAATAGCCAAGGATCAATAATTCAACGGTTCCCTGCCTGGGGCAATCATCATCATGGGCTATGCACAACAGGTCTTCCAGTAAGCAGGCAAATGGATGGTCTCTTGTGAATTTATGCCATCTAAACTTAGATGAGGAGAAGACCAAGTGGATGGCATACATGGGTGAAAATGTTTAATGTGATCTTTTGCACACATTTAGAGTCTTCAATACTCAACTCCACAAATCCAAACAGGGAGAACCCTCCATGTTTATTTCCATAATTACAATGGGTGGCAGGTACAGGTTTCAGCAAATATTAGCTGATTTGTCAATGTTTGGATTAGAAATGTTGAATCTGTGGTACCAATTAACTCGTAACAGTGTAGGTATTCTATGTAGCATTTTTTACTGGATGTTTATAAATTGGAAGATTGATAGGCACTATACTTGAAGCCAATGAGTTCACATTCCACAAATGTGTTACATGTATTTCCATTTTCAATTAAATTCAATTCCATGTTTGTATAGCAGCAATAGGAAGTTTTATTAGGCCTAATCCAGCAATATCCCCATTGAAAATCCATGTTTTTCACTAGAACACACAGAAAGAATGGTCTCCATCCTGAGCATTGAAGTACATACACTGTGCAGAGTATAAAAAAATTTGGAAAAATTGTTCAAAGATTCTGTCTCTTCACTTGAATTTCCAGTATTTTTATTTCATAACTCTACATGTACATGTAGTACACACGATGTAGGATTTGTTTCACAGAAATCCATTTTCCATAATTTGTCTCACAGGGGTTAAACTGATCATTCGGTTGGGTGGGTGCCGTGTGTGGACTGGTCAATTTTGTACAGAATTTCATTTAGAAAGGGAAGATTTTATTGTGTGAAAGAGGCTGCTTCAAACACTACCGTACCACCAAATGCACTTCATTCAACAGGAAAAAATCCATTACTCTGTCATTGTTGTGAGCTTTCAAAATTTTTTGACCTGCAGATACATTTAGCATCATTTATGGAAACTGCAAATTTGAAGTGATTATTTGAAGTAAATTCTCTTTGAATGACAGACCCAATGAACACACAGTATGAGCAGGTCTGCATACATACATAATACAGTAGATAATACAAAGAACCAAGAACATTTCATTTAAAGAGTTTAAAGAAATGTTCAACTCACCAAATGGCAATGGGTCTCATTAATTTGACAAAGATAGTTTTCAGGTGAAGAGCTTAAAATTAATTGGTAAGATTTACAATCTTAAATTCAGTCAGACGAATAAGAATGACAAAATATATTTATGACAAATTTCAAGACATTGGCATCAAATTGATCAATTCAACATTTTTTATTTTTATTTAGGCCTACATTGTACATGTAGCAGCATGTCATTTTGATGATGAAATATAGACCAAAATTTCCAATTCAGAATTTCTGTCATTCTTTTGACATGCTAGAACAACAAAACACAAACTTAATGGTCACGGCCAAAATCTAACGGAGGGTCATTTTCCATAAATGTAAACAAAGTTTCACACATGTATGTCTTCTATCCCATTTCTTCCAACTGGTGGTCACAATTTGGTTACAACATGGTTAATGGTTGCTACATGGAGGTAGGCTAGTGGTCGTACTGGGAATGGCAACGAAAGAAGGGCATTCGAAATTCAAGGTCAACCTTTGAAAGTTGTATTTCACCATTCTAAAGTTGTACTTCACATCATGTGTCTGACTTCAAACATTTTTCGGAAACATGGAGGGTCGTTGTACTCGTACCACTCAACGAGACTGAATACAACACAGCCCTTTGTCTCGGTAGAGGTCACAGAACAAACCGGTCACATTTCAATGCACACGACCCAAATAGTTTACATCCAAATTCAACGGCTTGCTGAAGCTAGAGAGAAAAATCCCTATTACAAGACTCACCTTGGTTTGCCCATGGTGAATCAATGACAGCTTAACTGGAGCAATTTCCACAAATTTCGTTGGTAATCATAGCAAAGAAACGCTACTCAAATTCAGTTCTCAACTGCTTCCGTGATCCAAGAGAAATTTGAAGACATTTAATTCCACTTTGCACGCAGCAAGCGTCTCTCGTGACGTTGGTCCTCGCCTCACGACATCGATCGAGATCTAGAAGTTAAGCTAAAAGTTTCACAGATATTAGTCTAGAACACTCCTTTCCGATTTCACAGTGTATCGTGTCCTCGATTCCACCAAGCGAGTCTTTTTTTTCTTCTTAATTTAATCGGACGGTCGGCAAGCGACGCTGCAGTACCATCACCTTAGAAACGAAAATCCTCATTTCATAGCGTCGTCGTCGTCCGTTAACTTGATTGACACGAAATATTTATGGCATGAATAATTTCGCTTCACTGGTAACTCAACGCGGATGAATTGATAAGCGCTGTAAGAGGGGACCAGTGAAGCTTTTACTTTCGCAACACTCTCCGAAATAAAGTTACCGCATGAGGGGGCTATTGCATTTTCCCTGTTCGCCACTTCACCTGTTGCTATGCTGGTCGTGCCGGCAGGTTGATTGAGATTGAAATTTGTTGCGTCCTCCAATTTTTGAAAAATTTGGTGGGAAACCTTGACGTTAATAAAGATTTGTAGATGCACATAAAAAGCAAAACACGTGGTGGTGCTAATCTATGGAAATAAATTATTAAAATTATTATTTTGCTGTAAATTTAGTCATCCAGGAGTCACTTGCAGGGCGGGGCGTTGCACTGACGGGGTGGGGCGATCGGGAGTGGAGTTCGCTTGTGACCAGTAAATGTGAATCAACGAAAGCAAACGTCCCATAAAGTTATTATTTTCTCACTGATATCAAAGTCTTTGGCTTTGTTTGAAATCTATCCAATCCAGCAAGTCTCTGTGTGGAGCACAGATCTCTGCAAGAGGCAAACATTTACTGCATTTGATCTGAATATAATCATTGCTCATGGTTCTGAAACACTTATAAAACACTCACCTGGTAATCTCTTGCTCCCAATTTGCTCTCCAAGGAGGTCATTTACAGTTGGAGATGAGCGTTGTTCGTTTTATACTCGTGCCTGAATCTGAACTGGCTTGAGCCAGTCTCGGGCTGTGATTGGTGAACTTGCTGGCCGGCCGCCTGCGGCCTGCCGGTACGGTGCGCGCTGTCACAGTGAGACATCACCGACTCTCGTGATATGATGTCTTGACACATCACCCGGCGACTCTTATGACGTCCAACGTTATTAATATTTTGATGTTTGCACACCCTTTGGGGTCACACGGACAAAAGTGACACTTCTGTCACCGGCACCGTGGAGAGAAAGCGTCTTACACTGGTTGATATTGCTGAGATGGCTCGTTCATAAACATGTAACGTTAGTTTTGGATTGACACACGCAAACTTGTCAGTCACAGCCATTTCTACAAACGCAAGCGTTTGGATTTCTCCCCCCCCCAAAAAAAAAAACATATCCGTCCTTCACGGTGTAGTAATCATCGTAATAACTGTGACTGCTGTGACTAGTCCAAGTAAACCAATAACAATGTTTAGCGTTTGAGTTAAAAGGAGGCATGAGTTCGTTTCTATTTTCAAATTGGCTGCCATTCTCTTTCAAACGAAGGAAATATGTCGGACAATAGAACGGAACATACATGTACTAAAATGGTTTATATAGTTTGTTTATGGTTTGAGGCACGGTTTCATACACGCTTAACCGTGACATTTTCAAATCGATAAAAACTGCATGATCTGGAAACCTACCGGCAGAGTCTCAAGCTGGAATTTCTGAAGCGAAATATTCTATGTCTCGGGATTGGTTGATACTTTTCAAATTGTCATTTACCTCGAGAAAGATGTACCTATTAAAACTTTTATACACAAAATGCATATTATTTACTGCCTCACCATCGGGCCACAATGATAAAAGTTCCATTAAAATATAACAAGGCATAAGTTTGCTGTGGGATGTTGGGTTCAATTTATGAAGGGGGGGGGGGGGTGGACATGCACAACCCCCCAAAATGTGGACTGTACTTTGGACAGAGCGCCCTCTATAGAGTGAGCTTCTGACGTTCGTCACAGACACCATCAGGGCGGCCATATTTGTTGTTCTCTGTGTGATCCTACTCCAACATTGAGAAACTTTCTCGAAATTCCTCCCGCCTCCCGTGAAAAATAAGGCAAGAAATCATGTCATCCCTAACCCGGCGGGGCGGGAACCTGACCCAAAGGCACAAGGCGGGCGCAGATGGCGGCGAGGAAGAGGAAAATTTCTCGCCAGACGTGGAAGAATGCGAAGAGGAGTTTGACCAGGATTCGTCAAAGGAGAAGCGACTGACCCTCATGGAGGAAGTGTTGTTACTTGGACTGAAAGATAAGGAGGTCAGATTTTAAGGCTGACATTGCATGAACAAACTGAAGAGCGGTACATTAATAATGGGGAAGCCCACATAAAAATAACTGTTGAATTGGGAGTTTAATACTTGCATAAACATGCTAAACTAAACATGCGCAAATGTGCCAAACGTGCAAAATATTTTTTTCTTCACAAAAAAATTCAGCCTGGATCTTAACACAGTCAGCATGTACTAATGTAGGCCTATAGTTAACAAATATTATGACACAATTGTGAAATCACCTTGTCTTCAAGTGTTTGATAAATTTGAAGTAGGCTTTTAACTGTTTTACCATAAATTAGCCCATTAATGTTTACTGATTGAGAGTTTTGTTTGTTTTTGTTTGAACATGTTGAATGTTCCATGATGCTTGCGATCAAAGTGCTGGACTGAAATAAGTGGCAGACAATTTTGACATGTCACGGCACAAACTTTAATTTGAAAAATACCCAGAGGATACCATGTACGATATGGGGCCGATGGGTACCCCCCACATGTCCAGTCCCTATACACACTCTAGACTATTGTTACCCAACACATCCCCCAGAAGT